TCATCGTTTTACTAAGTCAAGGGAAATAACTCTACAAATACTGGATAAATCCACAAGCTAAACCCCAGGTGCAAATCTAAATATGCTGAGCAGACCTGCCCATAAGGTTTAATGACTATGTCAAATCCATTTTGAGTAACTTGCGACACAAGTTGAAAATTGCAAAAAATTTCTAAGTGAAGGGCAATAACTCTAAAAATACTAAATAAATCCAGACGAAAATACCTGGTGCACAACTGCACATGCTGATCAACATTCCTGTAAAGTTACATGACTATAGGTCAAATACTTTTTGAATTACGTGCGACACATGTTGAAAATTGCAAAATTTTACTAAGTCAAGGGCAAAAACTCTGAAAATACTAAAAATATCCACACGAAAATACCCAGGTGCACAACTACACATGCTGATCAACATTCCTGTAAAGTTTCATGACTCTAGGTCAAATGCTTTTTGAGTTACGTGTGACACAAGTTGAAAATCGTAAATTTTTAGGAAGTCAAGGACAATAACTCTAAAAATACTAAAATATATCCACACGAAAATAACCAGGTGCAACATTTCTATAAAGTTTCATGACTAGGTCAAATACTTTTTCAGCTACGTGCGACACAAGTTGAAAATTGCAAAATTTTACTAAGTCAAGGGCAATAACTCTGAAAATACTAAAAATATCCAGACGAAAATACCCAGGTGCACAACTACACATGCTGATCAACATTCCTGTAAAGTTTCATGTCTCTAGGTCAAATATTTTTTGAGTTACGTGCGACACGAAAGTGAACGGACGAACGGAAGGACGGACAGAAGGACGGACGGACAAGGGTAAATCTAAATGCCCGCCACTAACGTGGGGGCACAAAAAGGAATTATTGCAAAATGTAAAAACATTTTGACAATCACCACTTCACGAACTACATACTTTGGGATATGGGCATAATGTCATTTCAAATTGGGCACATTTTAAGGTAATCAAAATACAGCAGTATTAGAGCCTGGAAAGTCTTCATGAAATTTCGCAGCCTGGTCTAGTTACATTATACTGGTGACAAAGACTTATCACTTTTTGTGGGGGTTTCCAGCACATTTTAAAGGAACTCCACTGAGGTCTTAATAGCCTAAAATTGTAATATTTGAAATTCTTTCACTAGTCAAACGGTACTCTTTTAAATGAAAAACTATGCAATAGATAATAATTATGTTAATGTTCTGGGTACTAAATTGATAATCAATTTTTTATGCAGATTTTGGGCCGATCTGTGTGACACGCGTTGTAATGCTTCTCATTTTTGGGTCAATTTGCATAAAAAAATTGATTATCCCTGGGAGGCAAAGTTAGCAAATGATCCGAAATTTTGCACACAAAAGTTAAAAGTCCAGACCTACATACAGCTGTACAAAAAATCTTGAAAAAAAAAAACCTCCGTGGAGTCCCTTTAAGAGTTAAAAAAATAAATAAATACATAAAATCACCATAACGACTTCACTAGGGAGGAATCCATATAGGCACTGTCTCCATAATCTACGTAGAACAAATCCAGCTCATATTCTTTTATGTCCATCACTTTAGCTCTGTACCAGGTCCGGTCATTTTCAAATGGCGCTGCAACAATATCTCCCTTCACAACTGATGGCAGCAGTTGTTTCTGAAATAATTATATTAAGTCATTTTCTTCTTTAAAGCTGCATGTCTAGGTCAGCCTCCAGACTAATTTTCATGAAAATTTTCAAAAGTGTATTAAAAAGTAAAATATTTTCAAGTGAATAAAGAAAGTAATTAATTTATATATTGCATCCTGATAAATTACCAAAATAAAAAAGATAAAAAGCCCTTAATGTGTTATTCATACAGTAGAAATATGGTGATGAAAACCTGTACTGCAGACTCAGACATAAATTACTTATAATATTTATATAAATTATTACTTAATAAATATTTTCACATATAAATTATTACTTTCATATTTTCACTTTTCTTAAAATCTTTGATCATTTTTCTCAAGTTTGATTTTCTTGAAATATTTTGACTCATCTGGTGGCTTGCAGCTTGAAACAAATGGAGGTTATAAAACTTTTTTTCTGAGTCTCAAATCTCAGGATTTTCATTGGTCAGTGTACATTTTGTGGCAGTTTCAGACCAATCAAATACTTGAAGTCTGAGTTTGAGGTAAGAGAATTTCTTTATAACCTAGGGACCTGGTCGCCCGGCAGTTTTCCAGAGAAAATTCTTAAGTTAGATGAGCAAGACAATCTGTTTATTTACAAGTTTTAACAACATGTTATTCTTGTAACTGTAGCACCATCAGATACACTGCAGAATTTTAGTTATAGATAAAATACATTCTTGCATATCAGCCTGGATTATCTACTGTTTACTCCTGTGCTAGAAAACTCTTTCTTACACCCCCATGTAAGACAAGTTGCATGCTTTAAATGACGTCATTGTCACGCGCTTTTTATGAATGAATTGCATTCTTAGGAAGACTTCATTTTATACGATATGAATGAAGTTGTAAGTTCATAAGCTACCATAAGAAAAATGTGTGTAATGAGAATATCAGTTTTCATAATTTCTGTTCTGAAAATAATTGACATGTAATATGAAAAAGAATCAAACACCGACTGTCAGTGCAGACAGGAACATCTAGCTCTTGGATAGAGCCCCATTACCGCTGTAAACTGTTACCCTCGAGCTAGATACCGTTATTCCAGTCTGTACTGGCAGTTGGTGTAAGATTCTTATATAATTACATTTATATATTAATTAGGATATCTTGTTCTAAGTAGACATTATCATAATGCATTGATTTAAAATAGTAAAAGAAATTTCCCATTCTTTTGTTTGTTTATTTTAATTTCTAACTCATCGTCGGATACCCACGATTGATAAACATGTCACATAACATGCAATCAAATGATAAATGTTAATGGTTCGGCCGTGGGTATCCGACGATGTCTCTAACTAAGATCATTTAAACAGTCTAACTATCTAAACAGAAATCATTTGCATTGGGTAATTAAAGTCAATTAAAGAACACACAAAGTGTAATTATCACTATCACAGTATCAGTCATAAATTCACAAGATAAAAAAAAAGGATCGAACCTGTCCTTCACTATTGTAGAACCGAGTCATGGTATCTGACAGCTTATCCAACTCTAAAGCCATCGCACCTATAACCTGTACCCAGAAATGACCAGGTGTTGCTATGGCAGAAACATATACCTCCACAAAATCTCTCCCCTTAGGAAACCCAGTGTATGTGTACAAGTCTTTACTCTCAATAGTCTCAGTATTGTAACTTTCACAATTATCAGTGTGTACTGGGTCTGAAAAATATATAATTGAGCCGCGTCACGACAAAACCAACATAGTGCGTTTGCTACCAGCATGGTTCCAGACCAGCCTACGCATCCGCGCAGTCTGATTAGGATCATTGCTGTTCGCTTACCAACTCTATAACAAGTGGAGAAACTGACAGCGAACAGCATGGATCCTGATCAGACTGCGCAGATGCGCAGGCTGGTCTGGATCCATGCTGGTCGCAAACCCACTATGTTGGTTTTTTCGTGACACGGTTCATTTATTAGTGTGTACAGGGTCTGAAAAATATATATGAACTGGATCATTAATACTAATTTACAGATATACACTATGTACATCTTTAGGCGAGATATTTTTATTGCATAAATTTATTAAAATCAAGTAAATTCTTACTGAATAGATCTTATTTGAATACAAGAATGCATAAACTATGTTTGACAAGCTGGAAACACAAAAAATATTAACAGGCCAAAATGCATTTTTTATTCAAGGGCTATTTCTCAGCCAAAATTAAACCCATTAAAAATACTCTGTCGCAGGCTTCATAAAAAACTGTCTGTCTAGTCAAAGTGCACAAATGTGCAGAATGGTTTATCTCCATACAAGTATAATGGCAACTTCAATGAATTAGACGAGTACATGTGTTATAAACTGACCTGGCTCTAAAGTGTGGCAAAAATCTGTCATTATCTACATAGCTGGTTTAGAGTTAAAAACATTACACAAAATTTATTGCAGAAAAAGCCTCCATAGTCCTGCAGCTTGCAACATACTTTATACATTGCCTTCATTGCCCCGTTTTCATTTTTTCCTATTAAAATACTTCATGCATTGCCTTCATTGCCTTGTTTTCATTTTTTCCTATTAAAATACTTTATACATTGCCACCGTTGCCTCGTTTTAATTTTTTCCTATTAACATTCTTCATGCATTGCCATCATTGCCTCGTTTTCATTTTTTCCTATTAAAATACTTCATGCATTGCCATCATTGTCTCCTTTTCATTTATCGGATTTACACATTTCATGCATTGCCATCATTGCCTTGTTTTCATTTTTTCCTATTAAAAATACTTCAAACATTGCCTTCATTGCCTTCATTGCCTAGTTTCAATTTTTCCTATTTAAAATACTTCATGCATTGCCTTCATTGCCTAGTTTTCATTATTTCCTATGAATATTAAAGGAACAAAGTTATTTACCTTTACTGTTTGCAGAATGCGTCATTCTGTCATTTGATTGGTTGTTTTTAAAATCTTTCTGTCTAGTTTCTCTGTTGGCAGCAGACACAGCTGATCTTGCTCTAAATTCTTCTTCCTCATCAAGCTTCTCTTGAATCAGACTCTGAGCGAAAAAAGTAAATAACATGTTGACTTAAAAAATATTCATACTTCATTTTTCTTTTTTAATAGTATAACATGAAGATTGCATGTATGTATTCTAGGCTTAATGAGGGCTTTCCGCCCTTTCAGGCACTGAGAGTACAGACCCCGGACATGTCACCATTCATGTCCTTAAATGTTATTATCAACCAAAAGGTGACCTTTAAATTTTGAATTCAGTAATTCACTGAATGATACTAAATATGTATGCAAGTCGATTTTTGTGATGATACAATTTTGATGCACGGGAGGTTAATGAGACCATTATATGCATCATGGAGAAAAATAAATGGCCATATCTTTCGGATGAGGATCACTGACTGATAAGATTATGCAACTCGGACTGATACCTGACACGTTTTCCGTATGCACGACAGACATGAAAAAGCATTCTTTCCGGTTTTTACAGGTGCATTTGGAATGAAATTATGGCCAAACATCAGTTTCTTTTTCAATTTTGTATAATACTAATATTGAGAATATCCCAAACTGGTGAAATATAAAATACATTATAGCATATAGTAAGATTCTGCAAATGATATTGATATCTGCGCAGTCTGATCAGGATCCATGCTGTTTGCTATCAGTTTCTATACTTGCTATAGGGTTTGTAAGCGAACAGCATGGATCCTGATCAGACTGCGCGAATGCGCAGGCTGGTCTGGATCCATGCTGGTCGCAAACGCACTATGTTGGTTTTGTCGTGATGCGGCTCATATTATATGAAAACATATATTTTGACATGACGTAACTTGCATTAAACATACATAGTAAACACAGGGTGGTATTAACTGAAAAATGGTTCTTCTTTAGGTATATGATAAATAGAATATTATATCTGAGTAGGTTCATTACTAAATTTATTGAAATTTTTGAAAAAATCAACATTGTGCTCGCAGAGGCGATATAGTTTTATTCAACTTGTTTAATCAATTCTGTATTGAATCCATACTCATTCAATATCCTTTATATAATACTCATCAGCTATATTTAGTGCATTTTCTATGTTTGATTGTGATTTTCTGTGTATATGTTCCACACTTTGTTGGAAAGTTACAAACATTTTTCTATCAGTATGCCTCCATTATAGACCAATCCACTTTAAATGCAATTTCAAATGATTACATACAGTGCTTAACATAAAACTTAAAGCAGCACGCCTCCAAATTTATGCTTTTTTTCATGAAAATTTTGAAAATGTATTTACTTGTGTAATATTGTGAAGTTACTAAAACTTAAAAAGGAAGCAATTTACACATTATCAATGGCACTTACAAACCACAGCAATTACCAAAAGGTGGTCAAAATATGCATAAATAGCCTTTACTGCGTTAGTAACTCAGAAGAAATATGATACATTTAGTTGTAAATACTGAAAAATCAGTCATTAATCGCACATAATATGCAACATATTCCTTGAATCTTGAAACTTTTTATATCTTAACATTTTTTTCTCAAGTTTTATTTCATTGAAATATTTTGACTAATCTGGAGGCATGTAGCTTTAAAACAAAATCTAAATTACCTTACCCACCTTGACATCAACAACAATAATAAAATCCTAATAAAGTAATTTACCTTAGCAACAATGATCTGGTCTTGTGAGCCAACGATGGTGATAATTTGAGGTTTGTCATGAGAACCACTCCTTGTTTTATCTATAAGAATTTTGGTCTGTGATGCCCGTGACATGTGGCGAATGCTTTCACCTCCTCTACCTAAAAAAGCATGAATATTTCAAAAGTAATTATACATGGCCATATAACATGACAGTTATATTGCAAACAACCATTTACACATGGCCATATAATATGACAGTTATATTGCAAACAACCATGTATATATTGCAAACAACCATTTACACATGGCCATATAACATGACAGTTATATTGCAAACAACTATTTACACATGGCCATATAATATGACAGTTATATTGCAAACAACCATTTATATATTGCAAACAACCATTTACACATTGCCATATAACATGACAGTTATATTGCAAACAACCCTTAACACATGGCCATATAACATGACAGTAATATTGCAAACAACCATTTACACATGGCCATATAATATGACAGTAATATTGCAAACAATCATTTATACATGGCCATATAACATGACAGTAATATTGCAAACAACCATTTACACATGGATATATAATATGACAGTTATATTGCAAACAACCATTTATATATTGCAAATAACCATTTACACATGGCCATATAACATGACAGTTATATTGCAAACAACCATTTACACATGGCCATATAATATGACAGTTATATTGCAAACAATTATTTACACATGGCCATATAACATGACAGTAATATTGCAAACAACCATTTATACATGGCCATATAATATGACAGTAATATTGCAAACAATCATTTATACATGGCCATATAAAATGACAGTTATATTGCAAACAATCATTTACACATGGCCATATAAAACATGACAGTTATATTGCAAACAACCATTTACACATGGCCATATAAAACATGACAGTTATATTGCAAACAACCATTTACACATGGCCATATAAAACATGACAGTTATATTGCAAACAACCATTTACACATGGCCATATAACATGACAGTAATATTGCAAACAACCATTTACACATGGCCATATAATATGACAGTTATATTGCAAACAACCATTTATATATTGCAAACAACCATTTACACATGGCCATATAATATGACAGTAATATTGCAAACAATCATTTATACATGGCCATATAATATGACAGTTATATTGCAAACAATCATTTATATATTGCAAACAATCATTTATACATGGCCATATAATATGACAGTTATATTGCAAACAACCATTTATACATGGCCATATAATATGACAGTTATATTGCAAACAATCATTTATACATGGCCATATAATATGACAGTTATATTGCAAACAACCATTTATATATTGCAAACAACCATTTACACATGGCCATATAATATGACAGTTTTATTGCAAACAATCATTTATATATTGCAAACAACCATTTACACATGGCCATATAATATGACAGTTATATTGCAAACAACCATTTATACATGGCCATATATCATGACAGGCATTTTTATAATGAGTGGCAGGAACCTTTGTCTGCTTTTCATGCTGATTTAAACATACTTTATGTCATATCTCGGCAATCACTCCACCAACCTGGCTATCCTGGCTAACGAACCACTTGACCAATTTCTCTGTAAGTAAGCGACTTCTTCACCAACATTATTTCTGCAGAGAGAGTCAGATAGTGAAGTTCCCACTGAATACCCTCTCACAAGATGGACACATTCCCCATGTTTTGCCACCAAAACAAAAATGGGCTCTTCTGTTTCAACCCATTACTTTTCCAGCTTATCAGAATATAGTTACCAATAATTCTTCCGAGAGCATATTTGGGCACTTCCATTGCGGACTGTACTTTTCCAAGCTTATCAGAAAATACTTACCAATAATTCTTCCAGGAGCATATTCATGCACTTCCATTTGAACTGTACTAAATTTCCAAGCTTATTAGGAAATACTTACCAATAATTCTTCCTAGAGCGTATTTGGGCACTTCCATTTCGGACTGTACTTTTCCAAGCTTATCAGGAAATACTTACCAATAATTCTTCCTAGAGCATATTTGGGCACTTCCATTTCGGACTGTACCATTACAGGCATATTGGCCAGGATGTGGCGTATTCGGCACTCAGCAGATTGAGCCGATTCTGGTGTGCCCCGGATGATGACAGTTCTGTCTGCATCTTCAAACTTTGAGTCTTCTTTGAAATTCACTCTAGCCCCTGTCTGCTCTTGAATCTTTGTTAAAATATATATATATACATTGTATATTGTGATAAAGAACATGTTTGTGTTTTGTTTTTTTTTCCATGGATTGTCTATTTTTCCAAAAGGTAAAATGTAAATAATGTGATGCAAAATAATCTTACAGCAGACAAAATGAAATTTTGTTAGATTCTAAATTCGTAGACTGACCTATCAACGAAAACCAGTTACAATTCCACAAACAAGAGGGCCATGATGGCCCTTATATCACACACCTGATTACTAAGACACTCAACAATGAAAAAATTAATTTTGTTAACTATGAGTGTAAAGCAGATAAAATGTCTAAATATAAACTGATATCATACTGTTCATATCAGCATCTGAAGTAATGCAAATGTAAAGAAAGTTTTTTTTCCCCATATTCAGGCTGTGTCATCAAGATGAACCATATTCAAAGCTGAGCTAGAAATCAATATAACTGCCTTTCTGACCAATTACCAGGATATTTGGGTTGGAAATGTTGCCTCTGAAATTCCATAATTTTTGCTGTGTGGCCTAGTTTTTGACAATGATGAAAAAAAAAACCCTTTATTCTGCTTGTAATTGCAAACATGACTCTCCCTATACTTGCTTGTTGGTTTTTAAGATACACCTACAAAGTAGTCGGAAAAGGAAATGACAACTTCCAAGCTTTACTGGTGGAGGATGACCTCAGTTAAAATCAATTAATATGTGGAAATGACAATGTATTATCACTTTGATGTACTACCTCTTTAATTGTAGCACCTTGTCGACCAATCACTGCTCCAACAGCTTTACGGGGAACCTGTAGCTCAATTACAGTTTGTCGTGAAGTCGCTGTTGCCACCGAAGATTTCCCACTAGCTACTTCATCATATTCATCTACAAAGGAAACATGATCAAATTTCATCTTTTTTCATTATATTATAATTTATATAATTGTAAATTCCTGCCAAGATTTATTAAAGTGGACCAACTACTTCTAAGTTATGAATCCAGACACTCTGACATCAGCAAAGATTGACATTTACTTAGACTGACATCCACAACCACAGGCATTTCAATATCCAAGTTTCCAATTTTATGAGCATGGGCTGACAAAAAAATATGCTTAAAAAGTAGTTACCGGTAAAAATCTTCTGCAATTCCATCAATTTGTATAAGCTGTCGATGAAATGTATCATAATAATCTATCCATGTTAAATATTTTCTTACGTTTCTTACCATATGTAAAGGATCACTGTTAACACAACCTATTTCTATATCTTCTTTTTCAAAAATCTCATATCATGATAACACTAACTGCTGACCTTTTATGAAATGAGATAATTCTATTTAACTCTCCATTTTGTACAAGAGTGAGACTAAAAAAGTCTTAGTGCACCACACTCAATACTGTATTTCGGTATATACTGGACAAGGCGCTTGCATGATTAAATGCTAAAATCTCGCCTTTTCACCGAAATACACATTTTATGACATCTTATTTATTTTTTCACTTCCATTTATGTATGATCATGAATAAAAAAGGGGTCAAAGACAGAAAAGGCCGGGTTGCATTTGTATACCAAATATCATGAGGCTGTGATGTTACAAAAAATGTTTTCCATTGACCATTAATGTCAAAAATTAAGTCGGTAAACAGGAAGTGGATGAGCGACAGACCTGAAATCGAATCCCACAGTATAGGACCATGAGGCAATGCTGTATACCAAATTTCAAGAAGCTGTGATAAGTAGTTGCTGGGAAAACTGTTACAAAAATTTCCTACCATTGACCATTAATGTCGAAAATTTAACTAAGTCGGTAAATAGGAAATGAATGATGGACAGACCACAGTATGGGACCACTAGTTAATGTTGTATGCAAAATATCAAAAGGCTGTGATAAGTAGTTGCTGAGAAAATAGTTAGAAAATTTCTTATCATTTACCATTAATGTCACAAATCTAACTAAGTTGGTAAACAGGAAGTGGATGAGTGACAGACCTGAAATCAAATCCCACAGTATGGGACCATGTGTTGCTGCTGTATACCAAATATCAAGAGGCTGTGATAAGTAGTTGCTGAGAAAACTGTTACGAAAATTTCCTACCATTGACCATTAATGTTGAAAATTTAACTAAGTCGATAAACAGGAAGTGGATGAGCGAGAGACCTGAAATCGAATCCCACGGTATGTCAATGCTGTATGCCAAATATCAAGGGGCTGTGATCAGTAGTTGCTGAGAAAACTGTTACGAAAGTTTTTCCCGCCCGCCGCCGAACGACATTCACCATACTATAACCCGGGTTTGCACCAGTGCAACCCGGCCAAAAATGTAAGAATCTGCGAAAAAAGTGATTTTATTTTGTGATAATGATTTCTGCAAGCGTCTAGAGGTACTGCTCCAACACTGTTGTGAGTTAATTCTATTGTACAAACCTTCTGATGAACTTTTCAGCAGGTAATACAGTAGACCAAGTGTTGTAGGAATACCAATACCTAGAATCACCAACTTCCCTTGCTGAGATATCTCAAACATTGTCCATACATTACAAGTAACTGCAAAACAAAAAGAACAAACGGTCATAGTCTAATAATTTCAACTCCTGTTTAGTTTATATGAATTTATTATAATTTGATTGTGTTGGAAGCTATAAGCTTATTGAAACACTCTCTAAATCTGTTGCTAGAACAAACCAGTTCTAAGCAATGAGTGTAAAAGTTTTTTTTGGCTCACAGAAACAACTGCTTGTACCTGACTAGGTAAGAACCCATGCGGTCAGCAATCCTTAGATCACTAAACTAAGGTGTCAATTCTTTATCATGAATGATCAAACTTTATTGAGTTATAAGGCCACCGGCCCATACACATATTAAGATTTATAATACAAAATATACATCTGTGGATGCTACAAATCAGACATGGTTAAGACATAATAGAAATATATAAAACAAAATGTCAACAATTATCATAGAAATAGAATTGGTACCAATTATCTAATCATCGACAAAAATAATCGTGTTCTTTAAGCGCTACATTGATCAAAGAAAAGTATAAATTACTAATTATCTAAACATAGACAAAAATTGATCACGTTCTCTAAACGCTAGATATAGAAAAGTTGCTAATTTCTTAATTGTATCAATATCTTGAGTTGACATCAGATTAATATATTTTATGTATGAAGGATATTTCCAGAAATAATCACTGATATTCTTTATATTCTAGCAGTTATCAAGATCTGTTTGAACTGTTTGTTGGGACAAAATTAAACCTGACAAACAAGTGGAGATTAGCGCAGCTGCATCCTTTTAACCAGTTCTAATTCAGCTTTGCTTTTAACATTTATCTCAGTCTTGTAGTTCTTTTTAAACTTGCTTTTATCTTATAGGCCTACCTATATTTGCACTTAACACATTTGTTTTTAACAGCTATTCCCAGACGATTATGATTTTAAAAGCAGTATGATGTAGATGACTCTCTTAAGTGGATGGAATAGACTCCGGTGTCTAAACGAGAAGTTTGTTTGTTTGATTGATTTGGTTTTACGTCACATCGACACTGTATAGGTCATATCGCGACGTCCAGCTTTTACTGGTGGAGGAAGACCTCAGGTGCCCTTCTGTGCATTATTTCAGGCACGAACGGGCACCTGAGTAGAATCACCGACATTCCGAAAGCTAGCTGGATAGCTTCCTCACATGAAAGAATCCAAAGTCCCTGTAGGGATTGGAACCAACAACGGTGAGGGGCAAGTGGTTTGAAGTCAACGACCTTAACCACTCAGCCATAAGAGATCATTAATTCCGATTTCTTTAGTTTAACTTTAACTTTATCTAATAATATTATAACAAAAGTGGTAGTCCTATAAATATGACGTCGCTTTGAGATATGTTTGCCTCTGGGCAAAGCAAGAACGGCATAAACTATAACAAGCCCGTAAGCGGATGCAATACCTGTAAGATACCTGTAGAGTCAGTGTACCCGGTTCCGCACAGGACTTGGTCCCGCACACTTTTCCATTTTTCATTTTTTCTCAAAAATTTAAATGAATTTATTCAGTTTTCATTTGTGTTTTACTGAACTGGCATGTTTTCAACAGGATATGACATCATCTGGGATCTTGCCCCCCAAGCCTCTCCCTAGACAGTGCAGACGAAAATGTAAATACATGTACATGGCTGTGTAGGTCACGCATAAAAACAACTTATTCAGCAATTAAACCATGCTAATTTCTATTTTAAAGTTAAGATCATTATAAATAAAAATATATATTTGAAAAGAAATGTATGTTTTTGTTATGGCAAATTTGCTGTTAGTTATGAAATATATGCACATGAATTAACTTCTCCCAACTACCAAACGTCAAGTCATTTCACATTGATTCTTTTGTTTAAAATGATACCAAACTCTTAATCGAACAAATCATAACTAAACAGATGAAAAAAACTTTATTGATAATGTTTTATGTCTGTCTTAACTACCTACAAGTGGTTAAAAGTATATTTCAATTGCTGTTACATGTTTCCTGTGTGCTACTATGCTTGGAAATAAATGTTTGTATACTGTAGTAAGAATGTGCATTAAATTTATTTGAAGTCCTGAAAAATTGCAAAAAAATATAACTTATCTGGACTTAGAGATGTTAGATAATTTATAAAACATGTTTAAGATGTAAAATAACCTTTCAGTATAAAAATGGCCTTGTGCGGAACCTAGTCCACTATTTATCATATTTGGCCCATTCCTGTTGCTTAAAATCAAGTGCGCCTAGAAGTATGACCTACTTAAGATAGATAAAAATTTTGATAATCAGTTTTTATGGGCAAAGGATGTAATTTTCAAAATAATATCAATTATAAGAAGAATTTTAAACGATAAAATAATTTTCTTATTTTTACTTAAAAAAGTGTACGACTCCGGGTACACTGACTCTAGAATGATGTGGACTTTTTTTATAAATTTGCTGCAATATGACATTGACACTGAATTTAAAGGAATTATACATCTATTTACTATAGGATTAGTCTTAGATTACATAAATTAAAGAAAAAGAAATGCTTAAAAACCTTTATTTTACAAGTAAAGCACACAACCTGAAGCGTTTTGCAGATCTCACATCGTAATGACGTTTTAAGATAAAAGGGAGGTAACTTGACTAAATTTCTTACTAACTATCCGGTTTCTACCGTCTGCAACATTTTCAATTTTGCGGGCCGTGATGCGCTTTAAATAGATATTCTGTTTTTCTTTATTTTGTTGTCATATCAGTGTTATTTTTTGTCGTGTAGCGGCCATAAAACTTCTAAAGGTGTATATAATCTATGGTGTTGTATTTTCGATCCTTTGATCGTTCGTCATGAACTCGTGCATGTTTTTGTTATCTTTTAGTTCTTTCCAATTTGATGATTTTTCTAGTCGAGTGGTTCAATTATTCCTCGCTTGAATACTGTTTAATCCCCCTTAGGATATGCTGTCTGCTTTTTAATTTTGACGTTTGTAGTTTTGACAGATTATCTGTAATGTAGAGGCTTCATAAACTCTGTACCCTTTTCAAAAATCCATTTTATTTAGTTTCGCCCATTGTTTCTCGTATAGGGCACATTTTAATTTACCCGGGGACCACATGCCGCTTTTCGTGGAATTGCACATACGTGTCACATTGAATGTCCCATGATAACCACCATATGAACACATATATGCATCTGCGGATGTTTCAAAATTCAAAGCTTTAATAGTTAATGTTAAATGTTCTATTCTGCTTAAACCGGTGCTAACTATAGGGCGTGGACGGTAGATTGCACCAACCATTACCGTCCACGAACAGGCTCAGTCAAGCCGAGCCCGCAACATCTTCAATTTTGACGTGCTAGCTTTGCTTTCTTTAGGGAATCGTGTAGTGGCGATATTTTTTCCCTTCTCCCCATTTCTTTGCAGACTTACGTACACGTGCGTCAGTTCTGGGACACGTATTAATTGGGGCATATAACCTCTTTAAAGTGTATACATATGAAGTTGAATCGTATTGTGAAATTCATACATGTAGGCTATGTCATATTGTTATATGTCACCATTGTCTAGGTTCAGATGCGTTGTAGGCGTCTAGTTAACGCCTTTATATAAGACTTGAAATGGATCGATGAAAATATTCTAGAACAAGAGGTGGTACTGTAAAGGTGTTTTTAAAAAGAAAATCATGTCTTATAAGAACCTCAGGTCAAAGCTTTAAATTGGCATGCAAAATTGTCAGTGACAGCTACAGCAATACTCGTAACGAGTGCAAAAGAAAATAAAGAGTTCCTGCAAAAAAAAAGCGGTTGTATAATTCCAGAGACATTCTTTAAATATATAGCTCTGTGATAATTCTTACAATGAATATTATTTAAAAAATCAGAAAAAAAGGATATATTTCAATTGTTCAATAAAAATATTTCAGCTCTTAATTTCCGTATGCTATAATAGCAAGATAATTAGAATTGTATGGAAAGCCTTAACTGTCTTATAATTATAAACCTAAATAATGTTATGCCCATATAGCATATGATTATATTGAGTCAACCTTTCCTTATACAATGTGCACTCATTATTATATTATGTGGATCTATCTTTATATGTAGTCAACTGAACAATATATGATGTCAACGTGTTTTTATATGATGTCAATCCATCATTATACGTTGTGCATTTTTGAATATATTATGTGGAGCCATCCTTATATAAGGTCAAAATAACAATATATGATGTCAATCTGTCCTTATATGATGTCAGTCTGCCATTATATGATGTGCATTAATGAATATATTATGTGGAACCGTCTTTATATAGAGTCAACTTAACATTATATGATGTCAACATGTCCTTATATGATGTCAGTCTTTCATTATACGATGTGCTTTAATGAATATATTATGTGGAACCATCCTTATATAGAGTCAACTTAACAATATATGATGTGAATTTGTCCTTATATGATGCCAGTCTTTCATTATATGATGTGCAATTACGAATATATTATGTGGAATCATTCTTATATATAGTCAAAACAACACTACATTATGTAGAATTGTCTTTATATAGAGTCATGCAGCTTACCACTATATGATATACATGTAGTTTACTTTGAGTTTTCCCGCTGTTGCCACGAACGGTGCATAGTGAGATATAACCCGGTAAATTTAACCCCATCAGTATAATGACAGAAGCACACCATATAATGATGTTTGCACTTCATATAAAGCAGCGGTCGAATAACAATAGATGCACATCGTATAATGAAAGATTCACATAATATATTGTTAAGTTGACTCACGGATTTATATTACATGTAATATAAATCCGTGGTTGACTGTATATAATGATGCAACCACATAATATATTAATAAATGCACATCGTATAATATCAGATGCACATCGTATAATGAAAGATTGACATAATATATTGATAAGTTGACTGTATATAATGATTCTACCACATCATATATTCATAAATGCACATCGTATAATGATTGGTCGACATCATATAAAGACACATTGACATCATATATTGTTCAGTTGACTTCATATAAGGATGCATCTACATAATATATTTATGAATGCACATTGTATAAAGAAAGAGTGACACAACAACGTTCATTTTTATAATCATAAGACAGTCAAGGCTTTCCATAGAATTGTGTAAAAAGGGAGATACATCTACAACGTCTGTTAGCCTGTATACTAGTTGTATATGTGCTGAGGAGTGGTCCCCATTGTTAATTATGTACAGTCTCCTTGAAGATATGTTTTGTGTCTGTTATATGTTTGTTTTAAGAATGTAAATCATGTGTAAATATGAGAGTATAATAATAAGAATTGTGTAATATCAGGTACGTAGCCTTTATTAACGTTAATATACGTACCTGGTAATATATATATGCATTGTGTAACTTTGTTCTGAAAAAAAATATTGAAACATCTTTAAATTCCGGCAAAGATTATTATTGTATACGTTTAGATAGATAGATACTTTTATTTCCTGTATCTGGTAACTTTTTTAAAAGAAAAAGTCATCCAGAAATAAATATATATACCGGTCATTTTCTATAAAAAAGTATATTTCGCATTTACTGTTCTTTTCGCAAATTATGTATATTTGCGTGATTACAACTTCCTGTTTACTCACCTGCGGAAGTAATTTTTAGAATTGTCAAATGAGAGAATAATAAATGAATTTCTTGCACAGTTTAGCTTTATTTCTGGGTCTGATCTCGCTTGGTAAGTATATATGATTAGAGTTTTTTGAAGTTTTTGTCTGGCATATAATCATTTAATTAGCATACCTGAATTTACCTGTTTACAGGTAAATCAAAATGGCGGAATTTCTGTTGTGATAAATATTATGTTTTAGGCATGTTGGCCGCTGTCTAGCAGCCTGAATTTAATACTCTTCGTATTCGATATGAAAAACATAGAATAAGTGTGAATAAAATGATGTACCTGATCAGGTAACAGGTTAATTACTTCGAAAGAATTGTAAACGACTCGCCCCACTGACGATTCGCTCCACTTTAAAACAATCATTTAAAATGTCCTCTACGGTTATCAAAATTAAGAAATGATAAGATTAAATGTTTGTTTTGGTATATTTTTTTAAAAAATAAAATGATCTCTGTAACAAAAATTGATCATAATTTTAATGATTTTTTTTGTCTATCATCTAAAGGATGGATGGAGATTTTACAAGTGTAATGTTATGTTTGCTATTGACATTATCATAATGAACTGATTCTCGCATGGGCTATGACAATAATTGATATAAAATTATGAAAATTAAGCCTTGAAAGGTGAAGTCAGATAAATTCTATTAATTTTGTTCATTCTTTATATTTTGTTTGTCTTTGGGTATTTCATGCACCGCTTCCATTTTCAAACGGGAGCACCTTGACGATAATTATTAAGCAAAAAAGTTGTGACTGTTCTCCATTGGACCCTGGCGATTATCACTGAGTTTCATTACAAAAGGACTGGCTACCTAGTAAAGACACTGTTTAAATTTCACTGATTGGTATAGAGTTCTATATATATTTTTATGCTCCCCGAAAAATTTTGGGGGAGCAAATAGTTGCCGCCTTGTCCGTCCATCGTCCATCCGTCTGTCCGCTTTTCTTGTCTGGGACATAACTTTGAAACAACAAGAGGTATCAGCATGAAACTTTGTAGGTAGATAGATCTCATTGAGTAGGTGTGCAGTGCACAAGAACCGTAACTCTGCCTTGCCTAATTTTTGAATTATCCCCCTTTGTTTATTTTACACTTTAAACTTTGTCCGGGACATAACTCTAAAAGTATAAGAGGTATCAACATGAAACTGTGTAGGTAGATAGATCTCATTTGGTAGATGTTCAGTGTACAAGAACCTTAACTCTGCCTTGCCTAATTTTTAGCTCGACTTTTCTATGAAAAGGGGAGCTATCCTACTCGCCCCGGCGTCGGCGTTGGCGTCACACCTTGGTTAAGTTTTTCGTACCACCCCACTTTATTTCAGAAGTATTACAAGTATGGCTTTGAAACTTACCATACTTGTTCACCATCATAACCTCCATCTACAGACAAGAGTACATAACTCTGTCAAGGTTTTTGACAGAATTATGGCCCTTTTTTGACTTAGAAAGTGTATTGAGCTTGGTTAAGTTTTTTGTACCACCTCACTTTATTTCAAAACCATTGGAGGTATTGCTTTGAAACCTACCATACTTGTTTACCATCACGACCTTCATCAACAGACAAGAGGACATAACTCTGTCAAGGTTTTTGACAGAATTATGCCCCTTTTTGACTTAGAAAATACATTGAATATGGGTAAAATCCACTTATTGCCTTAACCCTTTGAGATATTGCTTTGAAACTTTTAATGCTATTTCACATCATTACCCCCATCTGTACGCAAGAGAAGGTAACTCTGTCAAGGATTTGTTTTAAAAATTAAGGCCTTTTATCGACTTAGAATCTTGGTTAAGTTTTTAGTACCAGTCCACTTTTTGACTGAACTGTTTGAGATATTAATTTGAAAGTTGGAATACTTGTTTACAATCATGATTCCCAAACATGTCTAGAAGGTAATTCTGTCAAAGATTTTATTTGAATTATGGCCCTTAACTGTCAATGTTTTGTATTATAGGCAAGCACTAAAAAACTTAAAAAATCTAAAAAAATTCATTCCTATCCACTTGTTCACTTTACCATAAATTATGTCATATAAACATTGCTGTAATATTCAAGGGTATCAAACAACTAGTTCACTTTAAAAATACAGAGATTCTTGTATTGCCTTTTACTGCAAAAACTTTTTTTATTGGCAAGCAATAAAAAAGTCGAGCGCGCTGTCTTACGGACAGCTCTTGTTGAATTATCCGCCTTTGTTTATTTTTAGTCTTTGAACTTTGTCCGGGCCATAACTCTAAATGTATAAGAGGTATCAACATGAAACTTTGTAGGTAGATAGATGTCATTGAGTAGGTGTGCAGTGCACAAGAACTGTAACTCTGCCTTGCCTAATTTTTGAATTATCCCCCTTGTTTATTTTACACTTTGAACTTTGTCTGGGATATTACTCTAAAACTATAAGTGGTATCAACATGAAACTTTGTATGTAGATAGATGTCATTGAGTAGGTGTGCATTGCACAAGAACCGTAACTCTGCCTTGCCTAATTTTTAGCTCGACTTTTCTATGAAAAGGGGAGCTATCCTACTCGCCCCGGCGTCGGCGTCGGCGTCACACCTTGGTTAAGTTTTTCGTACCACCCCACTTTATTTCAGAAGTATTACAAGTATGGCTTTGAAACTTACCATACTTGTTCACCATCATAACCTCCATCTACAGACAAGAGTACATAACTCTGTCAAGGTTTTTGACAGAATTATGGCCCTTTTTTTGACTTAGAAAGTGTATTGAGCTTGGTTAAGTTTTTTGTACCACCTCACTTTATTTCAAAACCATTGGAGGTATTGCTTTGAAACTGACCATACTTGTTTACCATCACGACCTTCATCAACAGTCAAGAGGAAATAACTCTGTCAAGGTTTTTGACAGAATTATGCCCCTTTTTGACTTAGAAAATACATTGAATATGGGTAAAATCCACTTATTGCCTTAACCCTTTGAGATATTGCTTTGAAACTTTTAATGCTATTTCACATCATTACCCCCATCTGTACGCAAGAGAAGGTAACTCTGTCAAGGATTTGTTTTAAAAATTAAGGCCTTTTATCGACTTAGAATCTTGGTTAAGTTTTTAGTACCAGTCCACTTTTTGACTGAACTGTTTGAGATATTAATTTGAAAGTTGGAATACTTGTTTACAATCATGATTCCCAAACATGTCCAGGAGAAGGTAATTCTGTCAAAGATTTTATTTGAATTATGGCCCTTAACTGTCAATGTTTTGTATTATAGGCAAGCACTAAAAAAACTTAAAAAATCTAAAAAAATTCATTCCTATCCACTTGTTCACTTTACCATAAATTATGTCATATAAACATTGCTGTAATATTCAAGGGTATCAAACAACTAGTTATTTTTCTCTTTTTGTACTTGAAATAGATTTCTTGAAAAATTATGTTATTATGTCATTTACCAAGGTGTTCTGAGTGACGTAAAAATACCTTATTCTCTCAAAGTGGGTTTAATACTATTAAATTTATTTAAGGCTCAACTCAGTTTTTTTTTCTTTCTTACCAGCCCTCTTTTGACTTAAACATTTCAAACTTTGCTGCAGTGTTCAAGGGTATCACACAATTCAGTAAAATAATTCTTCACTAAATATCTTAATGCTCATGGCCATTGTTCACTTTAAAAATACAGAGATTCTTGTATTGCCTTTTACTGCAAAAACTTTTTTTATTGGCAAGCAATAAAAAAGTCGAGCGCGCTGTCTTACGGACAGCTCTTGTTTAATTATTCCCCTTTGTTTATTTTTACACTTTGAACTTTGTCCAGGACATAACTTTAAAACTATAAGAGGTATCAACATGAAACTTTTTAGGTAGATAGATCTCATTAAGTAGGTTTACAGTGCACAGAAATTGTAACATTGTCTTGCTTACTTACTGGAGCTATTGCCCTTTGTTCATTTTGACACTTTGAACTTTGTCCAGGACATTACTCTAAAGTAATAAGAGATATCAACATGAAACTTTGTAGATAGATAGGTCTTATTGGGTAGAAGTGCAGTGCTTAAGAATCATTACTCTGCCTTGCCTTATTTTGAAGTTATTGCCCTTTGTTCATTTTTACTTTTTGAATTTTGTCCGGGACATAACTTTAAAACTATTAGAGATATCAACATGGAACTTTGTAGGTAGCTAGATATCATTGGCTAGAACTGCAATGCTTAAAGAACCTAAACAAAGCCTGGTCTAATTTTGGAGTTATTGCCCTTTGTTCATTTTTACACTTTGAATTTTACCCAGGACATAACTCTGAAACTATAAGAGATATCATCAGGACACTTTATAGATAGATAGATCTCATTGAATAGAAGTGCAGTGCAAAAAAACATAACTCCATAATTTTGGAGTTTTTGCCCTTTGTTTATTTTTTTTTACTTTCCTGTGTCCAGAACCTTCTCGGGGAGCATCACCCAGTTCAACCGGTTCTTGTTTTCTTTGATTTCCTTTCAAATACACGTGTGGTTTATAGCCAGGCAAGCCAAAACCGTTGATTTCCCCTTATAACCTATTCGGAGCAGTTTCTCTTTACAACCTAAATGATTACTCTCAAAAATAAACGCTCTGCATTGGTCTGTTTTTCTTTTCCTTAACATCATTCTACATGTGTATTTTTTTTTTCAGGATCGGCCCTGGAATGTTACGTTTGTCGTGAGCAGCCAGATAACAGAGATAAATGTATCAAAACAACAATACAGTGTCGTGAACATCAAGATACATGCAGAACATTTATACACTGGAGGCGTAAGATTAATTATTATTATAATAAATAAATTATATTATTATTTATTAATTATAATTAAATTGATAATTAAAAAGACAGGGTAGGGACGTATACGCCTTCATGAGCAGAAATATTACGGAAAAATAAAACTTAAGAAAAATTTACAAAGTTTTTGAGAAAGTAAAAAGATTGAAGTCATAAGTTACATATTGTATGGGATTAATGACTGATTTAATCATCATATATTTCTACTGTGTGAGTAGTGCAGTCAGGGCTTTTTTGGATATTTTGACCTCTTTCTGATAATTTATGTGGCTTGTAAATCTTGCCGAAGGTGAAAGTGATGCAGTCTGGTCTGAGACTCTTTACTTTTGTCTGACCAACTTGTTACTTCAAATTCTCACCTTGACATACCTAAAATTGATAATGGACTGTTCCAAAATTGATAATATATATCAAATTGGAAAAGTCCATTTAAGAAATTCAGCAGGTTACTAGGGCATGCTGCTTTAATTAAGAAATACCTCATATATATACTTAAAAGACCTGGTATTGATAATTATGTGCAGCTAGTGTATAGATTTGTGCAGCAAAAACAAGAAAATAATGACTACATCATGAAATACCTGGTATATACCTGATATATAAATTTGTGTTATTAATAAAATGCAGTTAGGGCAGGCATCAAGGAATGGGAATGTCTGATGAAAGGTAATGTTACAACAGTGCAATATTATAAATACAAATTTGCAATAATTTTATTAAAATATATATATGATTTTTGTTTTTTTTGAGGTCCCAACTTGGTTCCCCTGTTTATTTTCCCTGTTATAGGTCTGAAGGGGTCGAGGGCATTTCCCATCATACCTTAATTAAATGTATTGCATATACAATTCAATCATAATGTACATATCGATCAAGTCACATACATAAATATCAACATACATATCAATCAAAGCATATATATATTACATAAATATATAGAATTATAAAATTTCTGTACTGTTAATACAAGAATCTCACTTTTGTATTTTAGAGCCAAAGTACTGGACACCACGAAGCGAGCGTATATACTCTATTGACAAATCTTGTGCGGTGCGATCAAGTTGTGAGCAGGAACAGAAAACTCTTGGTCTCGAGTGTATGAGGAATTGGTATCGTGACTGGAAATGTACAGAATGTTGTCAAGGTGATAGATGTAACTATTATGTAACGGTGAGTATATGAAACCAAAAATATCTGTATTACTAATTTCATACTACGATGGTCTTAAAGATTCTGTAACACAACATTTTTATGGGTTTATTACATAATTGTATCATAGTTTGGGGACCTTTCTGTTGAAAATGTGTCAGAGTTAAATCGTATACATATACATGCACAGTGCGGTAACTGGAGTGCAGGTATCAGTTACCCGCACTCAATATCATGCCCATTGATTGGTTCATTTTGTCCGGGGTTTACATATTGTGACGGCAGAGAAAGGGATAGCGATGGAAACGTCATATTCAGATGCTCGGTCATTGGTTACATTTTTGTGGGGTTTCATATTTTGGTATCAGGGAACGTGTTTTTATGTTTGACTATGATACAAAAGAGAAAGAACATCAAAACACTCGGCAATCTGATTTATACAAATCAGATAGCCTCGTGTTTCGATGCTCTTTCTATTACATATAATGCTCAAATGAAGATTTATCAATAGTGTGAGTTCCAAAAAGCATTATTTGTAAAGATATGACCAAATTTACAGTGCATGTTAATAACTTAATAAAGGGAGGTATTAATTAGAAATTTATTTTCTATAAGGTCTAAGTAAAATTTTTCAATTAGAAATGAATGCATATATATTTTAATGATTACATATAATGTGGAAAAATATTTGCAGTACATATTTTACATATTCTTCGTTGTTTGAAAACTGTTTTAGAAGCATAATTATTATTCATGCATAAAATTTCACTTAAGTGTAGTAACAACCTGAATTACAACATACAGGATCTTTAACGATTTTATATACAAGATACTGGTATACAAGGGTTTACTCTGATTGAAAATGTCTTTTTGTCAAATCAGTATGTGATATGTCTGACTTTATGCTGAAAAAAAAACATATGATAACATGGGTAAGTAGTCCTGTCACAAAAATATGATTTCCGTTGCTGAATTAATAAAAGTTTCGCAGATGCCTAAATTTCTTTATAATGGTACAAGGAGCCCAGTATGCACATTTGAATAAATATATGTTCTGAATTGATCCAAGATGTGTGGACTTGTCCCTATGCTCCTTGTAAAAAAAACAACAACTCATTTTGACCGTTTGGACTTGCTTTTTTTGTTAAAGATAGTAATATTCCTTATGATTTATTTCTATAAAAATCACTGTTAATGAAAGTGTACATTTTTACATTACAGTTGGGAGCATCCGGTGTAAAGATCAGCATGGCACTCTTGGTAACAGCTTTCTCGGCACTACAGATCATTCTACGGCTCAGATAATGTACAGTGACTGACAAAAACACCCTACCGTAATATCCAAGGATTATAATCGTTCAAAATTTTTTGTTTCTTTAGTAAAGTTTTGTTGTAACAATAAGATTGAAAACATTTACATGGAAGGAAAAAGTCTTAGTGTTTCATTTATTCAGTAAATTGTTGTGTCAAGTGACCAATTTAGGCATTGTTATTGGGAAGTATTATATAGACTAAATATAAATGTCTCCATGGTTACTGTCTGCCTATGTCTTTAAACACATCAATAATAATATGAGACAGATTTGCAGTTTTCCTGTATGAAAAGGTCTGTGGTAAATCAAATTTAAACAGAATAACTGTATGAAAATGTTTGCGGAGGTCAAAACCTGAAGGTCACAATGAATTAGATACATTTTTCTAGGTTGTTCTTCTGCATATCAAGAAAAGAAAGAACTCTTAAAAATAAGGTGCGAAAGTTTAAAAGTGATAATTTGATTTTGATTTATTTAATGTTACAATGGATGGCACAATATGGTTATTTTATAACTAAACAAACAAAAAAGAACAATGTTGATTCAATATTTATACACTTTAAATTTAAAACAAGGATTAAATGATAATTAAAGAGACATGTCTATATTTTATGTAGATAATTTTATTTTTGTACATTCCAACTTCCAGCACAAGGTTGTAGAAATTATTCATATCACAAAAATGTAAATAATTGTAATATTTTTTATACATCATTTTTTCTATTAACAAATGTTATCATATGTATATACATGTATATTATGCAATTTTTCATTTATTGTAAATAATATTTTTTAATATTACCTGTATTTGTGATCATCACAGTTACCTATATAATCAGCTCATTCTCGTAATATAAAATTTTCATCTCTTTTGTATATGTAAGTGTTTATCCGTGCTGTCCTACAGAAATTAGAAACTTTGACGGGAGCGATAGCGACAGGAAAATGTTTCTAATTTCTGTAGAACAGCTACGGATAAATACTAACATACTTAGTGTCAAGCTTTATTTGGCCTCATTACAATCACTTAATTACGTCACTACGCGGTTCTATGAAGTACTATGAAAAATAGTAGGTGACTATGAACGGAATTTGATATAGTATCGACTTTTGTTCTTCTATGAAAATTAACACACACAATTTAAAAAAAATACAGTGTTTTCATTGGATGACAAATAAAGCTGGACACTAAGTCTGTTTAATTGCTAAGGTGGTGACAAATTTTTTGACTTACCTATACCATGCAGTCTGCCCAGATTCTAAAATATATTTCTGGCTGTTCAATTTTTGCTAATTTTTTTTAACCAGCAAATTTGTCATAGGCATCCCTAGCATAACCTCCAACAACATATTATAAAAAAGAAAATAATTCAAGATTGGGATTTTGATTTGACTGTATCCATGGAAACTGATTTCTTATTTTTTTCTTATCATCATTGTATAAACCATTTTGCAAATAAAGTCATTTTTGTAACAATATTTTGGTGTTCCTTCTGTCTGAATTGAAATTGTAGGTTTACAGCGTCTTACTTTATCACAAATAACTTTATCTTTAGTTATAGTGTTAGAGGAATAGTGGGGGTGTTCTACCCGTCTGTTTTACTCTTTGGTTTTTATTTAAACTGAAAAATCTCACAATCTCATTACTAAAATCTCACAATGTCATTACCCGGGCATGGATTTCAACTGTATTATTTTGTGAAATCTCATCTTTCACTTCTAGTAGTGTTCAGCTGAAACTTCAAGGAGTCTGCGATCTTAATGGAAGGTTAAATTCCAAGAACCATAACTCTGGCAAAGATTTTGACTAAGTTATTACCCTTAGTGAACTTTAAAAAATGCCTGATAAACCTCAGAAGATAATAAAGGTTTGTTATATCCATAAATCCAGCCTGGATGACGACTGGAGTTTTAAGTTCTTTGTGAATTTTTAAAATTCCTGATTAAAGTTGTTTGTCAAAGGGGAGTATGGACAACTACAGAAATTCATTTACAACAGTAAACAGTGTAGAGTTACTCTATATATGTCTTCCATCTCATAATTGTGTTTCACTGTACATGCCTCCATTACACTTGCTTGAACTTCAGTGTTTTAAGCCCTTTGAAATACCGCCTCCGTGGCCGAGGGATTAGAGTCGATGACTTCTAATGCAGTTACCTCTCTGGCGTGGGTTCGATCCCCGTGAAATGCTTTGTTGTTAAGCGCGGAGGAAGGTAGTCTAGTACTGGTGTAAGTCTCCAGGAACGATAGTTAGAAAACTACCCACCTATATGACTGAAAAACTGTTGGGAAAAGGCGTAAAATGATACAAACAAACAAACAAACAAGCCCTTTGAATTTTCTTTGTTCACAAAAAGAACTATAGCTCTTGTCAAAATTTTTTTTTTAGAAAGAATTATGTAACGTCTTATCTTTGACAATAACCAACAAAAATAATCCTTAGAGATCTGTGAAGTTTAAAGTGAATACATTCTGTTGTTTATGTGATTTAAAGTTTTACATAATGTACATGCTTGCATACTTGAATAGCCTTACTTTTAAAATTTTGTCTGTTTTTTTTTATGCAAATTTAAATACTTAATATTTTGGTGATATATTGAAAGTCAGCTTTACTGGGATATCTAACCAGTAATTATGCCCCCCCCCCCTTCAAAGAAGAGGGTGTATATTATTTCGCTAATGTCTGTCGGTCTATCTGTCCGTTGGTAGACCACGTGGTTTCTGCTGATTATCTTGAAAACTATTTATCACCAAGTCTTCAAATTTCACATAGTGATTGGTCATAACTAGTAGATGACCCCTTCTGATTTTGAGGTCAAGGTCACAGGGACCTTAAATGTCGGAATAGTTTCTGCTGATTATCTTGAAAAATATTCATCACAAAGTCTTCATATTTCACATAGTGATTGGTCATAACTAGTAGATGACCCCTAATGATTTTGGGGTCACTATGTCAAAGGTCAAGGACACAGGGGCCTTAAATGTAAGAATGGTTTCTGCTGTTTATCTTGAAATTTTTTTATCACAAAGTCTTCATATTTCACATAGTGATTGGTCATAACTTGTAGATGAACCCTACTGATTTTGGGGTCACAAGGTCAAAGACACAGGGGCCTTAAATGTCAGAATAGTTTCTGCTGATTATCTTGAAAACTATTCATCTAAAAGTCTTCATATTTCACATAGTGATTGGTCATAACAAGTAGATGACCCCTACTGATTTTGGGGTCAAAGTCACAGGGGCTTTAAATGTAAGAATGGTTTACGCTGATTATCTTAAGTATACATCACAAAACTGTTGGTCTGTCCGTCAATAGACCACATGGTTTCCGCTGATTATCTTGAAAACTATTCATCAAAAAGTCTTTATATTTCACATAGTGATTGGTCATAACTAGTAGAAGACCCCTACTGATTTAAGGGTCAGGGTCACAGGGGCTTTAAATATCAGAATGGTTTCCGCTGATTATCTTGAAAAGTATTCATCACAGTCTTCATATTTCACATACTGATTGGTCACAATTAGTAGATGACCCCTATTGATTTTGGGGTCACTAGGTCAAACGCAAAGGTCACAGAGGCCTTAAATGTCAGAATGATTTCCGCTCATGTTCTTGGTTACAATTCATCACAGTCTTTATATTTCACATATTGATTGGTCATAACTAGTAGATGACCCCTACTGATTTTGGATTCACTAGGTCAAAGGTCAAGGTCACATGGGCCTTGAATGGTAGTATGATTCCTGCTGATTATCTTGAAAACTACTTATCACAAAATCTTTATATTTCACTTACTAATTGGTCATAACAAGTAAGTGAACCCTATTGATTTTGGGTTCACTAGGTCAAAGGTCAAGGTCACAGGGTTCTTAAACGTTAGTGTGGTTTCTGCTCATTATCTTGAAACTTATTTATCACAAGGTCTTCATATTCCTAATATTGATTGGTCATAACTATTGATTTTGGGTCACTAGTTCAAAGGGTAAGGTCACAGGGCCTTAAAAGTCAAAATGGTTTCCACTCATTATCTTGAAAACTATCACAAAGTCTTCATTATTTTTCTTTTTTCCATAATTGAACACTTCCATGTACCAATTTATGGCAAGTTTCTATAATAAAATTACCAATAATGTGAGTAAAGGGCTAGAAAGGGGTCATATGTGTCGTTTGACATCTTGTTAATTTCTCTGCAATCTGTGGCAAGACAAATGAACCATTAGACACATTTTCAGAGATTAATTGTTACAGAGAAACCTCGGCTTGACTGAGGATGTAACCAGCATTAAGTTTCACTACTCACTTACATAGTACCACTCTTTTTTTCCAAGAGAGAAATAATTTTTTTGTCATATTTTACCCTAACAACAGGATATCTAGCAAAATGTCTTTAAAAGGTAGCAGGTCTTCCATTAGTGGTAGTTTGGGAGTCCTTTACTTCTTGACAGAGGCTGTGACTTCCAAGATGTTATGCTTTTCCTTCTTTAACTATATAATGTGACTTCCAATTTTAGACATTTTGCACTTTCTAATTTCCAAATTTTGGAACATTATGGAAGCCAAGGGTTCAACTTTACATGACATTTTCCACCTGTTGAATATATGACAATAAATAATGCAATTGTTTTCATTATTTTTTTTTTTATTTTGTATAATGATATATCACAAAACAACATTTACATACACACAGTATAACATATAGTAGTATTGTATAAACATATTTATTATTTATTACATGTATACAATTAAAATGACATTATGTACCACACTATAATAAATATCAACATCAAACTAATCTCTCTGTCACATACTTATGTCATAAATAATGAAACTATTCATATCTATTTGTAGGTGATTTTATTATAACAAAATTTCACCACTTTACAGCTTACTATATGTAGTATGGAAAGACAGACTGACCTACAAGCTGGAATGAAACATTAATAATTTCTAAGAAGGGACATCCTAAAGTAAAATATTTTGAGTTTGCTCTCTGACAATGCATTGGAGGCTATATTCAAACATTCATTACAATCAAGCTAAAATAAATATGTTAACACTTAAATATTGTATATGACCAAAATTAGACTGGATTTGTAGTACATAGTTATAATACTATAAAATAACATTTTAAAAAAAAGCCAGCAAGAAGTAAAATGGGGACTAGGTAGATAAACAAATGAGTAAATTTATGAGGTATAAGTTATAAATAATACACGAATATACATATAGAGGGAACAAGCACATAATCTAGTTTTTGCCTGTACAAAATGTACACCCGACTTATGAATGAAGTCGACCTATGACTGAGCTATATATATATACAAATCAGGACCTATGACTGAGTATATATACAAATCAGGACCTATGACTGAGTATATATACAAATCAGGACCTATGACTGAGTATATATACAAATCAGGACCTATGACTGAGTATATATATATACAAATCAGGACCTATGACTGAGTATATATACAAATCAGGACCTATGACTGAGTATATATACAAATCAGGACCTATGACTGAGTATATATACAAATCAGGACCTATGACTGAGTATATATACAAATCAGGACCTATGACTGAGTATATATACACAGTTCAGGACTTCAAGCTAATACAGGAATGATTACAAATCAGGGTCGCAGGATCATATACTGAATGGTATAAAGTTATATTTAGACATCTTTAATTAGCAGAATAATTGTTTGTATTGTGAAAAGAAGTCATACTTATGAACCAAAATTGAAACATTGATGTTGGTACATTCCAATAAAAGTAAGGGGCTAATCAGAAATAGCCTAAAATAGTAATGAAATATTCATTACCAGCATAAAAGTGACCTTGTTATTTTTTAAATCCGTAATGTTTATTGGTAAAAAAAAAAGAGACATTTTTTTCATCAAATTTCTTAGTAATAACAAATAATATTACAAATATAATATTATTTAAAGAAAAATTAATCTAATATAAAACTGCTTTTAGCAGTATGTTTTGCAAGTTTAATTGATTAATGCCCTTATACCATTTTTGTGCAAAAATTAATATAACAAAATTGTGAAAAATATACAGATCTAATAATTTTATTTGCTTTAAAAAAAGAAGAATTTACTTGATTAAAATTTGCATTTTTTCTTCCAAATCTATAAGAAAATGTGGAGAGACACTTAAAACAGATGATTTCTATGACACATGAAAAATACTATGTTTCTTTATTCTGTTACAGTTGCACATTTGTTTTCAAAAATGACCTTAAAGTGAATTGGTCCATAATGGAAGGTCTGTTATATCATAAATAGGGGATGTTAAATAATTGTAGGTTTAATACCAAGTTGAATAAAATCATATCATGCGAGCCTCTGCGAGTACAATATTGTTTTATTCATCAACGAGTTCAATAAATTTAGTGTTGAATCTACACGAATATAATATGCTATTTATCACATATATAAAATAAGAACGGTAAACTGTTAAAA